GGAACGCATCTCACTCTTCTACGCTACATTTTTTTGGACATATGGTCATTAATTTTTTTCATTAAACATGTTAAGATGCCTCATGATACTAGCAAAAGAGAGAAAATATATGAGCTCTGCTCAGTATTTTCTAAGATGTGCTGATGTTTAGTGTCTGTTCATACTTCAACAAAAACCAAAAGGACATACTTTATGATTAGATGCTCAGCCTCAAAATTAGAAAGAAGGTAACAAACAAACAAGGGTTCAGTATTGCAATTTATTACAAGGCAGACTTTGTTTCATTTCTTTTTCTCTTCCATAGAGTCAGCTCTTTATTTCACAGTTGTGCTTACTTAACAAATGTCAATATTAAAAGTCTGTGATGTTCCAATAATGAAAAATGAACCACTGAATTAGATAAAGGCCTACATACAGCAGAACAGACATAGGAACCTGCCAAGTATTCTGTTTAAGTTACCCCCTCCCCCCCAGAATAACAAATTATTTTCTACTGATGAACACTTTTTTATTATGAGGTTACAGAATTTTTCATCAGCATTAGTCATCATCACAAAGCCCAATGGTCTGCCAGATTACCACAAAACCAGGTAATTGGTAATTTTCAAATATATGTTTCTCCATGTGTTCATTCTCTCTTAGTGGGTTATGTTATTCCTGTACTTGTGTATATCTATATCTTTTATGGTAGTTGTTGTCAGGTGAAAGAGTTTATTCTGCTGGTCTCATCATGTCTTTGAAAAACAATAAAAAAGTCTCCCTTAAGGGCTCAATTCTTAAAAATATCAAACGTGGAGTTTTATTGCTAGTGAAACTATTCCACTAATTTATTGAGAGATCTTCTGTGTTTGGTAGGGAAATTAGAAGCTAGACTTCCATAAAAAGCAAACGGTGTTAGTTCAGGCACACAGATGTTTAAAATTTGTGCTGGAAACAGTGTTGATAAGACAGGGATGTTTTAGTTATTGCTGAGCAGAGCTTACACAGATCCAAGGCCTTTTCTGCTTCTCACACCACCTCACCCATGAGGAGTGCACCAGGAGGTGGGAGGGCACACAGGCAGGACAGCTGATCCCAACTGCCCAAAGGGATATTCCAAATACGCAGTTTCATGGACAGCAGATAAAGTTGTGGGGAAGAAGAAGGGAGGAGAGTATTCCAGGGATGGCTTTCATGTTCCCATCAGGCATGAGAGAGCCCTGCTCTCCTGGAGGCGCCTGTACCCCTGCCTGCCCATGGCAAGAATGAATTAATTCCTTGTTTTCCTTTGTTTGCATGCATGACTTTTGGTTCACCAATTAAACTGTCTTGATATCAAGGCACAAAGTTTTTTTCACTTTTCTGATTTTCTCCCCCATCTCTGGAAATCAGTGAGGGAGCAGCTGCATCGTGCTGACTTGCTGGCCGGGTTTAAACCATGACAGTTGAATAAAGCAGAGAAAAAGTTCTTCCTATTATCCTGGGCTAAATAAATTGTAAAATGTAAGTTATGTACATTTGAAGATTAAGTTTACAGGTTCTCTAAAGGAAGGAGCTGTTTTCAGTTGTGAAACACCTGCACTGTGTGGGCAGGAAGCTGGGAACAGCCAGATGTGGAGTCTGGAATAGTGCAACATAAATAGCATTAATACCAGACCTGGTCTCTGCTGCTTGCATGTCAGTAGTACAGATTTGAACCAGCTTGAATTTGGGTACAGAACCACTTTTCAACTAGACACCTTTCACATAGTAAGATTACAGAACAGAGTTTTCCTTCCACAAGTTTATTTTTTACTATCTAGATCACAATGCACCCAGTGTTCTGCTGGACACAGGGTAATCAAATATTCTTCTGTGGGAATTTGAGATCTCTCCTCTACATAACGTGTTTTCAAAGCATAATGAAGGCCTTGGTGTGAAGGATCCTGGGATCCCCATTCACTCTCCACACTCAATTTTGGACAATTATTTCTAGGCTTGGAGTTATGTTGCATTCTGACTTTCATTTTGCACATAGTTTTGTTGATCTCTTTGCACTTCCATTCCCACATGAGTTGTGTTCATCAGTCCTGCACGAACAGCTGAGACATCAGTGAAACCTCAGTGACTGCAGGATTCATTTTTCAATAATTTCAGGATTGGGCTGTCTGCAGCTATGGAAGAATTGAAATGTAAAAAAAATATTAATGGGATTATAGCTTACATCATTGAAACTTGATCTAGCAAAAGAAGTTTGTGCTTGCAGCACAGAGGTGTGAGATGACAACCAAGGGCCAAGGCAAGGGCTGTAGCTCACTGCCTGTGGCCTGCACTGCACCTCCTGTTACCTGTGCACATCAGGACATTCATTCTTGATGTCAAGAGAGAATGACTGGGCTGAAGGGGAACTCTTGTGGAGACACTTTGGGTCTGAGGAACAGCACAATTGGAACAAAGTCATGATCTGAACTTTGAAGGACACATGGCCAAAATAGGATTTTTGCCTGATCAAGTCAGTTGTACATTAAATTGCACACTAGTGTGTATGCTAATAACTTTTATGAAGTATGTACTACCACATATATGACTATATTACTCAATGCTCCACCTAGATCATGCCACACGTAAGTGGGAGAGTGGGATAAGATTATGTTTTAGATAAGGAGAGTAGAAATTTAACCTGTTTGGGAGGAAGACAAGGCCTTGGAGGACAGTCAACAGGCTACTCTCCTCTCCCTCCTCCCAGATGGGCAGGCCTTTTTGGTAAACTTCATAACATAACAATAATAATAATAATAATAATAATAATAATAATAATAATAATAATGTCTGGGTTAAGACAACATTATTGTTCTTTTGGAGCTCTGTCGTAGTGCATTTAGTGCTGGCAATGCTGAATTTATTTTTCAGTTTCTTCAATAAACTGCTCTGTTCTCCAGTCTGTGATTACAGAAGTTCTTCAATACAACTAGATCTATAGAGCTGAAATGTTAAACTGCACTATTTGTGAATATTGTTTCTTATTTTACTCTACCAGGCTTACAGTGCTGCATTTGCAGGAATCAAAACTTAAGGTCAGCTGCAGTCAGCCCCTCTGATGTGTGAGGACAAGCTGGAATGCAAGGGTGCTCATTTTCTGTCAAGTTTCTGTACTCTTAATGCAACACAGAGGTTAGTCTGCATGATCTTTGAATGTCTCTTCCATAGGAAATGATTCAATGGATCTTAAGTTACTGTTTCATTTCATCAGACTTCACAGAACAGATGATATTTGATTTGTAATTGAGAATCAGTGGTGAGTGAAGAAGAGCAGGAACTCAGCCCAAAACTTGCATTTCCAAATGGTTTCTGATCTTTTGCAAAGCAACCAGACAGCAAGAGACAGAGGAAAATGTTATATGTAGTCACAGATCCTTGGGCAGAAGCAGCTCATTATGGAGCAGAATTTATGTTATGAGATTGTACCTTCATTTATTCCTTTGGGGAAAAAAGAAAAAAAATAAAAAAAGCTCAGCTTTACAGAGCTGTACAGCTTTACAGTGCTGTACAATATATCACAAGCTGCTTAGGTATGTGATTTGCCCAGGATTTTGCAATAGCCTCATGTCAGGTATTTGCAAGTGGCAACAGTTCCTAGGGAGGACCTGTGATAGAGTCAGAGTCCCTGAGGTCTGCTTGAACAGACTGAAGGTCTGGAGTTTCATAGCAGAGTAAGTTCAGGGAGTTCTGCAGCAGGGAGTGCTAAACTGCCCTGTTGGTAACACCCTGGGGACTCGCCTGTGTACTCAGAGAGTGACAAACCTGCTGCAAGCGGGACACCAAGTGTACTCTTACCAGTGCAGGACATACCCACCTTACTCCCAAAATGTGACAGAAGAGCTGAGTGCAGAGTGCCAGTTTGTCCTGATAGCCTGGTCTCCCTCAGAACTCCATGGTTCCTGAAATTCCCTCCCTGAAAGGAGCAAACAGGCCTTAGGGAAGATAGCACCATCACCTGAGCCGTGGGACCCCGACTGCATTCCAAAAGTATCTCCAGAGGCCAGAGGAGAATGCTGTCAATCCCTTGTGGCACAGAGCCTTTGTCAGAGGTTTGAAATTTTAGGATGTCTCTTTCAGAGTTTTGGTATTGCCTTGGCCCGTTTGGGTTTCCTTTGGGCCCGTGCTGAAGAGATGGTGCATGAACACGTGACAGATGCCATTACTTTCATTTATCAGTGAGAGAGGGGCCAGTGAACAGTGATTTCTCTGCTAACAGATGCAACACCTCTGTCTGTGGTCTTTGGGAAGAGAGATTGATTATTGCTCAATCTTTTATGGTATCCTCATGAAGGCACACATTACATAAAGCTGCTCAGCCAGTAAGAAAGGAAGACCACTATCAAGCAAAGAAAAAATATCTGGGAGAGGACAGCAAACACCCAATACAGGAAACTTTTTTTATCCTCCCTGATAATTTTCAGCTCAAAAACAATCTATTGAATAATTTTTTGCTAAATACAGCTTGGTTTCAACAGCAAAATCTCAGAACATTTTCCTCCACTATAGAGACCAAACCCAGAATTAATAAATACCCAAGAAAAACAAAACCACCCTTCTTTTTTCAGTATTTATTTTTTCAATCACTGTAAAAATAGACATGCTCTTGTTTATGGCACCACCACACTGGAAAATACTGTAAAAATATTCTTCCAAAATAATTCCTTGAAAAATTAAACTGAAACATGTAAAGTCTGGGTTAGCATACTTGTAATGGTAAATTCGCCTTGAGATAACATTCAGAGATGGCAGGAAATGAAAATGTGAAAAAAAAAAAAAAAAGCGAGGATGGGTAGAATTTCTCAGAAATATGATTGGAGAGAATTTACTGCAAGATTATCCTTCTCAACCAGGTCGGACCGAACCCCATAAAAGCCGCGGCGCTGACCGAGGCGCTGCACACCGACCGTTTGGGCGGCAGCGGCAGCAGCAGTCGAGGCACTGCCCTTTTCTGCAGTCCTCAACCAGGTCGGACCGAACCCCATAAAAGCCGCTGCGCTGACAGAGCTGCTTCACACTGATCGTTTGGGTGGCAGCGGCAGCAGCAGTAGAGGAGCTATCGTCATGTCTGGTCGGGGCAAGGGCGGCAAGGGGCTCGGCAAGGGCGGCGCCAAGCGGCACCGCAAGGTGCTGCGCGACAACATCCAGGGCATCACCAAGCCGGCCATCCGCCGCCTGGCTCGGCGCGGCGGCGTCAAGCGCATCTCGGGGCTCATCTACGAGGAGACGCGCGGCGTGCTGAAGGTGTTCCTGGAGAACGTCATCCGCGACGCCGTCACCTACACGGAGCACGCCAAGAGGAAGACGGTCACGGCCATGGACGTGGTCTACGCCCTCAAGCGCCAGGGTCGCACCCTCTACGGCTTCGGCGGCTAAACTCAATTTTCTACTGCGCCACTGCTACAAAAACCCCAAAGGCTCTTTTAAGAGCCACCCACTTATTCCTTTAAAGGAGCTGTATTACGATGTTACAGAGACCGGAAGAAAAGGATGATACTATTTTCAAGTCTTTCCAGAACTGTTAATGCAATTCTTCCAGTCTTTGAGACTTCTCAAATGTATAAATTCACTGTTAACGGGAATTTCTCTTTGCCATATGAGGTGGTTCTTTTGTGTTCCAAATTCTCTTACAAAAAAGCATTAGGAAATTTGAACGGACATTTCTGCTAGAGAAAAATCGTTAAGCTGCCCTGCGGTGAATGTCTTGTGGTATATCTATTCCCCTCCCTTGTCTATGATATATTTGCTTCTAAAATAAAGGAGTGAATCTAATCCTGTGGTTCTAGTGATCCTTTGGGGCGTGATGGGGCGCGGTGAGGGAGAGAGGAGGGGGAAAGGAAAGGGATGGGAGGGGACTGGGCAATAAAACCAAATTATGAACCTAGAAACATTTTAATATATCAGAAGATGCTTTGTTTTTTTTGTTTTTTTGTGGAGGAGGTATTTTCAATAAGTTTGTTTGTTTTTTTTTTAATTATGGATTTAAAATGTATGTATTCTTGCCCTAATGAGAGTAAATGTATTTGTCTTTTACCTTGCATTTCTTCAGTAGTGATCACCATATATGATGAATGCTGAGCTGTCATTCCTGCAGCCTTCTTCGTCATTCCTTCAGCATTCTCAGTGAGTTCCTGGAAGGACAGATATTTACACCCGCAGTTTTCAGCCTTCTAAGGACCCACCTTTGTTCAAATTCTTACAATGAGGCAAGGTCAGTCTAACAAGGGTCTGAGGATCAAAAGGAGGAGTTAAAAAATAAACCTCAGATTCATTAGTGGCTGATGTTTCTCCAGTTATTTTTGGAATCATCTCCCTTTCTTCTGCAGGGAGAAGTTACCAGATCTGCAAAAATTCACACCTGCTACTTGGGATGCCACAGCCTTGAGGACTGGAAGCACCTGAAGGCTGCTGTTAGAAGCCAGGGTGGCCCCTGCTGTGTTTAGAGGCTTCTGGGCACGATTTGCCTGCTTAGAAAAGCTGCACTACAGACCCCATCTGCCAGAGACAGCGCCTGGGGAACTGGGAAAAGAAAGCAGAAAGACTTGCTGAGTTTGCCAATCAGATAGAATAAAGATTTATTTGGGGGGTTCTGCCTTTTATCCCTTTTTTATTTTCTCCCTTCTTTTTTTCTTCCTCCCACAGAAAGCTCCCTGAATGAATTTATTGCTCATCATGACCCAGTTTTTGGAACAAGGTTGGAATGGAAGGAGAGTTGTATAGTATAGCATGATTACAATTTCTCCTTATTTTTATTAAGCAGCATGATGTTATAAGAAATGTTAACTAACACCCTGGGGAGAGAAAGAAATATTTCAGTAGGCCATAAAAGTTCCATGTTCTCTTAAAAGTCAGAGAAAATAAGAAACAAAAGAATAATCTCAGCCTTTCTTTCTTCCTTCTTCTTCAGTAGTAACAGAGTATATGAACACTCACTAGGAAAAATAAATAAATAAATAAATAAATAAACTCTATTATTTCTAACAAGCAGCACCACGTCAATGCTGTAAGATCCTACCCAGTCCCTTTTAGCAATTTTACTGGAGATCACTGACACAGAGCCTGAGAACACGGAGAAGATGTCCCTGATCACTGCAGGGGTGTTGGGATAAATGACCTCCCAAGGTCCCTTCCGACCCAAGCTATGTGTTATTCTATAGGATTGGAGACTAAAAAATGCTTAAAGTAGAAATAAATAAATAAAAAGATGTTTTTTGGGGTTTTTTTGTTTTTTTTGTTTTTTTTTTTTTTTTTTTTCTGCTATTATTAACACCATTAGGATTGTGCCAGTTCTTCTCACAAGTACCAGACAGGGAGAAACCCCAAGGCTGTCCCAGTCCCTGTCTAAATTCCAATCAACTTACCAGTCATAATGAATAATTTCCTCATTTACTTTTGAGAGCTGTTCCCACAGACTGGTACCAGGGAAGGCTCTTTATAGAGCTTGGCTGTGCACTATAAGGAACCACCAGTGACCCCTGCCTCTTTATTTACAATTGCAACCCTTCTAAGGCTTTAGTCCTTTTCACCTTTACTAACCTCACGTTTGGGCCTAGTCACGAAGTCTGAGTCAGTTATAAATTGCAAGTGTGTAGCAACAAGGAGTGTCAGGATGGAGGCTACTGAAGTCTTAGAGAGTAGGCAGATATATTGTAAATTTTAATATTATAATAATGGAGCTCCTCTTAAATTACACTTAGGCACAGTCTCTGTACTTTTCTAGCAGGAGCACTGCCATGTATAAATTCTCACCCCACTCTGCAAGTGGTGATGGACAAAGAAAAGAATAAAAGACAATAGAACAATTTCAACTAAAAGAGACTTAGAGTGACCATCTAGTACCAGCTGTGAAACAGTTTCTGTTGTTTAATACATCATATAATATTGGAACTGCAGGAAAACATGCCAGATGGTGCTGAGGCAGAGGGGAGTGAGAAAGAGACAGATAGATCTGAAATTTATGAATGGAAGAAGAGAATATGAAGGTGTGTGTTCAGGTATATAACATTTACATAGATATGTTTATATTAACTTTCATGCCTACATTACTATGCTATGAGTATTTCTTGTATATACCATGTTTACCTTGTGTGTATTGTTTCAGAAAAATACTATATGAATCCTCTTACAGGATTCCCCACATGCTATACTCTAATATTTGAATTTTGATTTCAAAACAGTTTGGCTGGTGACATTTACAGAAGGGTCTGGAGAGGCTGGAGTCCATTGTCAAGGACAGAGGAAAAGATGTGGCAGCAAAGAAACAAAAATCAACACAAATCCCAGTGCTTTATTTGTGAATTTGTAGAAAAGTTGACCTCTCTAAAATACTAGAACAGTGACAGTCTGTAAGACATGGAACAACCAGAAATTGAACTAAAGGCCAACTGTAATTTCCTGACTACAAAGTTTTATTGAATCAACTGAATTCTGCTAAGTTTTGGCCTTTGATCTCCCCGTGCATGTTCCTCTACTGACTCAGTTTTCTGGTCATCAAATACAAACCACTTGTCTTTAACTCCCAAAGCTGTTTAAGCCTATTTCCTGCAGGTGTCCCGTTGGCTAAATCTGCCAAGCCTTGACAGCCGCTTTCTTTTCCTCAGCTGATGTGGTCCCAAACAGGAGCCACAAAACTTTCTGTGCCAGGGCTCTCTGTGTTTTGGGAGAAGAGAGGAGACTTGTCTGAAACAACCAACCACGGGATTCTCTTTGCCTTTCCAGGCATTCACTGGCCTTCTTCTCCAGCCTGTCCTCAGTCGTAGCACACATAAACCAACCCACCCACTGACCCCCACCGCTCCCACCCCCCACAAAAAAACAAAAACACAAAAAAAAAAAAAAAAAAAAAAAAAAAAAAAAAAAAAAAAAAAGCAAAAAAAAAAAAAGCAAGCAGACTAAATTATTGAATTTCTCAATTTTTAATCCTATCATCAAGCCTATAATCTTAGCACTCCTGTTTTAGTTGTGGGATACAGGTAGAGCTGAGATATCCAGTTAAATATCAAAAGTATGCCACAGTAAAAGCAATGATAGAGTGTAATAGTTAATAAAAAGCTGTTTGAAACTTGATGTTTTCTTCCAATGCTGACTCAGGTTATACCTTCCACTATGCTTTAAAGTAAACCTGGACTATTCCAAATAGATTATTTTACAGAATGTATCAAGTTGGGGGTGGGGGGAAGGAAAAGAGGCAGGGAAAAGTAAGTGTGAGCTGTCTGACCTAGTATATTTTCCATTTGCTGTATTTGAACACTCATCTGCTTTGTGAAATTTACTTATTCAGTACAGGTGAATGGGCATTAGGAAGGACCTCACTAAAACAGCATGCAACACTGCCCAAAACGGGAAAGCAACTTGAGTACTTAAAAGTTACTGACATGCTTACATTGGAATTGCAATTACCTTTAAGAACATCAGAATCATTGCCTGTTAAGTAAGGAAATTTAAAAAAAAAAAAATAAAAAAAAAAAAAAAAAAAAAAAGGGGGGGTTTCGGTGTTTCAACTCTCTTGTGCAATGTAGTGGCTCTTAAAAGAGCCTTTAGGGTGTGGAGAAAAGTCAGGATCACACTGAGTGCACCCGGGCAGGAGGGGACTTAGGCGCGCTCCCCGCGGATGCGGCGGGCCAGCTGGATGTCCTTGGGCATGATGGTGACGCGCTTGGCGTGGATGGCGCACAGGTTGGTGTCCTCGAAGAGCCCCACCAGGTAGGCCTCGCTGGCCTCCTGCAGCGCCATGACGGCCGAGCTCTGGAAGCGCAGGTCGGTCTTGAAGTCCTGCGCGATCTCGCGCACCAGGCGCTGGAAGGGCAGCTTGCGGATCAGCAGCTCCGTGGACTTCTGGTAGCGCCGGATCTCGCGCAGCGCCACCGTGCCGGGCCGGTAGCGGTGCGGCTTCTTGACGCCGCCCGTGGCCGGCGCGCTCTTGCGGGCAGCCTTGGTGGCCAGCTGCTTGCGGGGCGCCTTGCCGCCCGTCGACTTCCGCGCCGTCTGCTTCGTGCGCGCCATGGCTCAGGGAAACGCAGCGAGCCGCGGAGAACGAAGAGAAAAGCTGAAATGACAGCAGCGCGCTGCCGCCGCCGCTTTTATAGACTGTACCGCTCTCTGATTGGCTGCCGGGAATTCGCCGCTCCTATTGGGTGCTTTCAATTTTCGAAAAGCCCGCCCGGAGCGCGCGCGCCTTCTCCAACGGCCGCCCGCGCTCGGCCACCCCCCCGTTCCCGGCGCCGCCGCTTCTGCTCCCAGGGTGGTCCCTGCTTTAGCGCCGTTTTTACAGTCCCCCTCAAAAACGAGACCTTTATGTTCAAAAGGAACATGAGAAATCGCAAATTACGCTTCTCTGAATGCATAGAAAATTCATGGGGTTTGTTTCTTAACTGACTTTTTAAACGGTATTTTGGGGCTTGGATTCCCGTTACTCTGGGGCGCGAGGGGTTGGGTATTGTGAGGGAGTTTTGGTGGGGGAGAGGTTGGGTTCCGCTTCGTGTAACTTTCATCAGGCACGGTAAATATTTTGGGACCAAAATTAATTTTAAATTCCAGTTGTCTAATCCAAGGGAGAGTGCTTTCAAATGACTCAGTCTTTCAGCATGGAAAGAATCCTTGGGCTGTTGGCGAGGCACAGTGAGGCGTAAGGTGACTTTTCCTTTTTCCTCGTTGTAGATGTGGGGAAATATTGCACACACCACATTCAGAGGACAAAGGGGACTTTTTTTATCATTGAGAAGGGACTTAGGGAGCTGATACCTCTCATGTTGCATTACAATCGACATTAACTTTATTTAAATATGAAAAGGTGTACACTTCTGTTTACGCAATGAGGGGGAAAATCGCCCCCCCCGCCCCCAATGAGATGCCTGCAGGGAGACACTCCTGTATCTTTCAGCCGTCAGCACGGATCAGGCGGCTACGCGTTTGTACTGTTCATTTACTTTTCTTAAATAGCAAGTACACTGTCCTACACATAAGACATAACTAAGGCAGTCTTCTATTGGCGGAGAGATTACTCTTTTGACAAACATGTAAAATAAGCATCTCTCATTATATCAAGAAATAGTTACTAATTTTAAGTTTTAAAGTGAATACACCACTTTTAAAGCAACACAGCTCTTTTTCAGATTAAGTGTGCGGCTCTTAAAAGAGCCTTTAGGATCTTGGGGCGGTGGCGCTGTAGGAAAGTGAGGCTTTAGCCACCGAAGCCGTAGAGGGTGCGACCCTGGCGCTTGAGGGCGTAGACCACGTCCATGGCCGTGACCGTCTTCCTCTTGGCGTGCTCCGTGTAGGTGACGGCGTCGCGGATGACGTTCTCCAGGAACACCTTCAGCACGCCGCGCGTCTCCTCGTAGATGAGCCCCGAGATGCGCTTGACGCCGCCGCGCCGAGCCAGGCGGCGGATGGCCGGCTTGGTGATGCCCTGGATGTTGTCGCGCAGCACCTTGCGGTGCCGCTTGGCGCCGCCCTTGCCGAGCCCCTTGCCGCCTTTACCCCGACCAGACATGATGATAGCCCTCCTGCTCCTGCTGCCCACACCGCCGGTGTGAAGCAATTCTGTCAGCGCCGCGGCTTTTATGGGGTTCGGTCCGACCTGGTTGAGGACTGCAAAGGGGAGGGGCGGGGTTCCCGCCATTTCCCTGCCGCGTCACCGATGGTGGCATGCCGCTCGCTGTTGGCGGTTTCGGGGGCTGTAACATCTGGCAAGTGAAGCAAAGAACAAATCTCCTCCAGGAAAAAAATTCCGGCGATGTGCGTGTTCATACAGTTGGAAGGTTCCCCCCCGCCCCCCAGATTTGTATAAACCATTTGCATTTGTGCACGTATTATATCTTGCACTGGCAGGGCTTGGTGTGAATGACTTCAAATTTTCATTATTTTCATGCTGTTGTTCATTAATACATCTCGTAAATTTTTATTCAAAGTGCTATAAACCTTGTTTCAGGATTTTTAATGATCTGTGATCGCTTAACAGCTTTAAATAATTTTTCAAAGTAATATTTAATTTTATTAGTTTCTTTATTTTGATCTTCACCTCCCATTTCTTAACTATTCCAATTTTACATCAGCAAGGTTTTGTCTGCAATTGCATATTAACCAGAACCTGAAATACAATCTTTTATATTTTTAAAGTTATATTAGTTTATGACTTCTGCTATTTTGCTCATTTTGAGCTACTGCAGTGGGGTAATTCTATGGGTTTAAATTTTTTGGAAAATTACGTTTACTATAATTATAGACTGAAATTTCTGTTCCTTGATTAGTAAAAAAATCATGCAGCTTTTTACTATAGACTAGGCTTTTGTCAATCTTTACCTTTTTTCTTTTGTGTGTGTGCGTGTGTGTATCTATATCAATACTGGAAACAAAAGACATTCTGAATTACCTTCTGTGGAAATCAGGAGTGGTCTTAGGACATTCCAGATGTCATAATGTAAAAACATCCTGAGCTGGTACAGCTGAAAAACTGATCTCAAAATAATCTTGTTCTTCTCTTGTCCTTTTATGTAGAGATGGCAAACATAATTTCTATGTACTCCTTCAGAGTGTTAAATTTTAAAAAATCATTCATTGTATATTACTTTGCATTTAGGTCAACATCAGTAAAAAAAAAAAAAAAATATTGCCAGACGTTATATTTTAAGAATATATATGAATAAAATTCTGGAAATATGTTTGTACTTTCAAACTAATAGTTTTGCATTTAGGGTAAGTATCATATAATTTTTTGTATTCCTTATTTTCCACCCACTGCCAGCTGGTGCTTCCTTCCCCCTTCGAAATGTTCTGTGTCACTCTCAAAGGAAGAGTGGAAAAGCACCAAGCCCTGTGCCAATGAGCCAGGCTTTGCACTGCCTTCATGCCCTTGTCATCTGCCATGCTGGAAACACAGATCTCATCTGGAGGAACAAATAAATCCTTCCCTTCACTGCAAACCTGAGCACTTTTGACAGAGCAGCACATTGCCACAAGAGAGGAGAGCTCAGAGGAGAAAGGCAGAGCCACCACGAGCTGGAGGAATAAGGCACTGAAAAGAAAACTGCATTTATATCAACATCAGGGAGACGGAGGGGTTACCATGGTTTTACACAAGAGAGCTGCACCAGTGAATCATCAGATTTCCTCAGATGATCAACAAGGATAACTTCTTCCTCAGCAAGCCAGATGAAAATGAGGGGTGGGGAGGACGGGCCGTGTACACGTGAATCAGCCCAATGTAACTGGTAAAAACTGGAGAACAAATAGAAATTTTGGAGATAGCAACAGGCTCGAGGTGATTTCAACCAGCCTATCCCCTCCCAGGGACTGGGCAGGGGGGCAGCATTGATACTGAGCACATAGAGACCAGTAATGAGAATTTTGTTTCTACTGTGATTCAACTGTCCTTTGCAAAACTTTGTTATGCTTGGCTGCAATTTCAGTACAGTATCCTTCTGCTAATTAAAAATACAATCAAACATCAAAGCTGCTCATTAGAAAATTTAAAATTAAGCATCAAACCCTCCTCATGTAATATCTGAAAGAACCTGGATGGAGAGTACTCAACTCCTAGAGCATGGAGATGGGATCAGCCGGGACCTGCCTTCACAAAGAACTGTAAACTGCACAAGATCTCACTTCTTTGGCAGTCCTTCAGCTACTGAATCTACCCCAGTGGTCTTTGTTCTCTGCATCCCTGTGCCCACACAGCACACCTTCAGTTCAGCCATGTAGAAAGCCATGCTTACTGAAATAGACCAGCCCACGTCACTTTGGTAAGAAATTTTTTAGGCGCAGAAAGCTCTGATTTTGAGACTGAGGCACAAAATTCAATATTTGCATGTGTGGATTTACCATTTGGAAGGAATCTCCTGGCAGTAGCATAAGTGCAGAAATGCTTTATGCTGTCCAAGCAAAACTACCAAATGCCACAAATTTTGTTTAATGACTGGTACACTGATAACTAACTTAGTATTTTCCCTGCCTTTCCCTACTAATTCAGACAGTCAGAGGTGGAGAGACCCATTGTCATCTTTTTATTTAACCACTGCAGATGGTCAGAGATAAGAGTTTGGGCTTTAGCCTTGGTTTGGGCTGTTTCCAACTTCGTTCATGCTGCCAAATTCAGAAAATACACAGGGACTGATAAATCAAGAAAAGCCCTCTGTCGTGGCCCAGCCTGGTAGGCTGACCTTTGAGACCCTTGAGATGCAGTTTGCCATTCACACAGAGTGGCTTACAGATCAGATGATCCACAGAGAGGCAAAATGTTCCAAAAATTGTCTTGTGGGCATGCTGTGTGAGTCACTGCTGGGAAGAAGGCTTGCACGGGCCTCACCCCCATCACTCCACGCACGAGCTGAAGCCTTGCAGGCTCACTGAACAGCTGGAACAGCTGGTATAGCTGAAGAGGCCAGGAAAAAAGGATGGAGGAACTCCTAGCTGAGGTTTGGGCTGTTGAGAAGTTAATGAAATATCCAGTTCTTCACCTGAAGCATATATAGGATATGGGAGAGAAGGGACAGGGTCAATAACCTGTAAGGGGGGGCAAGGGCAACAATGCTGAGCAAATTCTGGCCACGGCCTCAGCACTCCTGGGCTTCTCTGAGGAAAGCACCAGAGTGCTCTATCTAACAAGTGCTCCAGGGTGGCCTTGGAGCTCTGAGCCCAACAGCACTCCATTCAAATCTACTCCTGCATTCTGGTAGAGACACAGTGAACAGCAAACCAGCTACTCAGCAGCCCCAGCTGGCACGGGTGCTCAGGAGCTTTGCTTCTCTCAATCCTTTCTCTTCTTCCTAAACTGGCGTTTGGCTGAAGCAGCACAGATCTCATGATGCACTGCCCCTCGATTAAGCTAGAAAGATGAATCCAGGAAGAATTGTAAGCACTGCATTTTTTGCACAGCTGAGACTGAGTAGCTGGGCTCCTCTTGTTGCCTGGGCTCGTGCAGAGCTGGGCTGGGCAGCACGTTTTTCAGCTGAACTCTGCCAACCCTTACAGAGCTGCAAGTACTTAAAAGCAGCTGAAGTGCTGCCTTGTCCAAATGCTCTCTCTGGGGCATAGTTTTCCAAGTGCAAATCTAATGTGAGCATCCTTGTAGGAATTTATTGAATATTGTCTTGGGCTATGTGTTTCTGGAGGAAACCAACTCTGAAAAATGGCAAAGTGCCTTTGGTTAGTGACTCCAGACACTGCTGCTGTGCTGTTTTTGCTACAGCAATACTTGGTTGGAAAACAGAAAAATTCCAGTTGAAAACCCCAGGCACTTACAGGGATTTATTCGTGGTCGTGCTCTGGACAAAGCAGCTCTTCCTTAAGGATAGAGCAGTCATGGAATTCCCCACAATGTCCAGGTCCTGCCAGGTCAGACCAGCCATCCCCTGGGCTGTGCTGAGGCAGTAGCATGCAAGTGCCTTCATGTGCACAACTTGGCACTTCTCTTTGGCAAACTGCACAAGATTTCTGTCGGCCCATGCCTCAAGTTTATTAACATCTCTTTTGTCTGAAAGTATTACTTTTGACCCTGTCTAGGCATCTTCACTTTGTGCTAGCCACACTAGCTGAGTGCACACTCTGCCCCAGCACCCAGGTTGTTCCAGAAAACACTAAATAATACCAGCCCTGGAGCACTGTTTTGGTAACTGGTTGTCTGCAGACATTAACTTGTTGACTATAGCCCCTTGACCCTGTGCTACAGACAGTTTTCAACTATCTAAGAGCCTGCCGATCCTGCCTGTTGTTCCTCTGAATCCAAACAAGAACACTTGGGAGATGGTTCCAAAAATATCATGAAATGTCAAGTATATTGCATACAACGTTCCTCCTTTGTCCCCACAGAGATACTCTTTAATCAACAGTTCTGGGATCATTACCTATACCCAGACATGAGCAATTTTTGTTGCACTCTATCCACTATCAAGTCAACAGAATCCATTTTATTTCTGAGACTTAGTCACTCTGCTTCTTGGAGAGTGCTGTCATTCCCTGTAACATTTTCCACTCCATGTTAGAAGCTATTTCCTTACTGCTAACTTGCTGCAAAGAACATCAGTTCCTTTACTTTCAACAATATACATTAAGGGAAAATGGCTTCCTTTCTCATAATGTTTTAAATGTTTAAGAAGAAACTTTAGTTTTTCAGCATTCTCTTTCAGTCAGAGTACTTCAATAACACTTGCCTTTTCATCAGGGAAGAGTTTTTAGACATCTGACAATCGCTATTTCTCTCTTCTTCGTATTGACTTATTGTTCCCTTCTCATTACCTGAAATTTGGAACTAAAAACAAGGCCTAAAACTCCAAATAGGAGTATACCATTCCTGTCTGCAAAGACCTTCTCCAGCTGTCTCAGGGAAGCAGTCACTGTGATCCTTTTCTGCCAACATACTGGTTTGATTCATTATCGACACAAAATCTGAAGATCCAGATTACTGAGGTGCTTGTCAGCTCCTGCTGGCAGTGGCACTTTTGCAATATTTCCTAGTGTTTGTAAAGCTGATACAGTTTATTCCAGGTGAATAATCTAACATGTCTTTGAAGGCAGTGTCTCTTATCCAACATTTTTCAATACATAAAATGTCCTCAAACATTTCAATTATTTTTTCCTACTCACAGTATCTATATACAAGCTCTGTAGACTTTAATTCAGATCATAAATAAA